AACCTTCACTAGAACCTTGGCATCTAGCACCAAAATCAAGTGTTTCTCTTACAGTTAGCTCTGCAATGTGATTATCCGTCTGGCCTATATAAGCCGAACCTCTTTGAACAAAGAACTCATTAAACTCGTGGCCATTGTATGTGATAGTTCCACTTTTCTGTCACCAACAAAAATTTACATGAAAATTTCGATTCTAGGCACCATAAGCATTAGAGGGACATACAAAACGAACACTAGTTCAAGGGATTTCAGATACATTTCGGCAAAATTTCAGCTCAAGTACACTGTAATTGATTCTTGCAGAATTTCACAATCATATGCACATGCTTTCAGAAGAGTAAGATGCTGGCAGCAATTTCATTGATGTCCTATTAAGTATTAGTGTTCTTCAATTGACTATACACAGTCAACCTTAATGAGGTGAAAGTCATTATTCAAGTAAAAGGGGAGCAGTTTCTAGCATATACTGACCTTCAAGCTTCTATCAAGCTTCCCAGCAAGAGCTCGAAGTAATGTAGACTTTCCAGAACCTGGTGGCCCAAGCAGCAGAGTCATCCTAACAAGAGTTCAAACAGATGATCAGATGATATGCTTTTCCAATATGAACTATTTCATGGTCAAAACTAAAGTATCAATTTTCTCGTGATACACTAATGAAGTACATATTCATAGTAAATTAATGTGAATTATATTTATATCCAAATGATTGTGAGCATATTTATATTTAGTTAGAAGTGAATATAGAATTGTAAATTTTATAGAAAAATGTGAAGTGATAATTGGGTTTTAATTAAAATAATATATATACATGTTGAGAATATTTAGTAAATGCAAAAGATAAAAATGAGATGAATGAATTTTGACTGGTAGATAGACAAATGTGTTTAGTGTCCAACACATTTTGTTCATTTTGCTAGTGAGAAAATTTTATGAGTCAATGTTGTATTTTTATTTTGTGGATGAAGACATCCTTTTAACTTTTCATCCAATTTTTAGCCAACCAAAATTTTTTGGTTATACAATAAAATTTGATGACAGTAAGAGGATTTGGAAATTTCTTAATCTAAGAAATTTTAAAGCACGTGAGATACCACCAAATAAAGCCGGAAAAAAAAAATGAAAAATGAATATCATGCGGCACTCCTTACATCATGCATGTTTTGAATTAGTAGACAAAATTATAAAACAAGTTCATGCAAGAGTCAAAAACTAATAAATAAATGTTCACTATCTAATGAAGTCGAGCACAACACATACGAGCAAAAACTAACAAAAAAAACTATCTAGTAACTAATAGTGAAAAAACTACAAAATATATACAATAACCCGCACCTATGGGCAGAACATCCGCAATTTTATTAGATTCGTGGATTTCAAACTAGCGGGCAAATAGATATATAATTCAAATTATTGGGCATATTTTTTTTTTCATTTTTTTTTATTTTGTTGAATTAGTTTATAAGCACCAACTCACGTATTTGAGCATA